AATGGTATTGCAAATATTTGAAGGGTCTTGGCTGTCCAGGTAGAAGGAAGCTGGAAAATAGAAATCTACCTGTAATAAAGATTTCCAGAGCTAGATTAAGTTGGTTATAGGAAACATTTTGTAGGTTTGAGTCAAAACAAGTAATTAGCAAGTCTATTCATTCATGATAATACTGATGAGGTATAATTTTTATGTAACTTCCAGGCCTTTAGACATTTTTTTATTTTAATCTTTTCTGTGGGTCAGTAGTGGTTTTTTATCAAATATTTTCAGTTTTCTACTACCAATGGTTTTGCATCACTGATCCGCTGTTGTTATGTGCTTGAAATATATGTTGACCTTTGAGCTTTAGGGAAAAACTGGTTATTGCTCTAGAGAAGGCAGAACTTCCAGAATAGTGGCATGAAGACATCAATAAAGTTTTTCCTTCATACAAGTAATGATATAGTAGAAAACTTGTCTGAATGAAATTTTTCAGTTTTCTACAAATTAATCAAATGCTTGCAAGAATATGAGCAGCATTTACTCAAGAGAAGTGATTAGTAAGAGAAGTGATTGGTAAGAAGAGTAAGACTTTTGGCTTTCAATTAAAATTTATTTATTTTAATATTCCTTTCTTCTACTCTGTTGGAAGAGTCATTGGGTCAAGACATTTAAGAAAATCTCTGACCATTTATTAGAAGACTACTAAGCTGGATGAACATAGTTAGGTGGTTGCACAATGCAGAGAATATAAACAGTACAGAATTAAAGGAACATGTCATATGATGTCATGGCACACACAGAATATCCATGAAGAGATAAAAACAACCAAAAAATAAGACAACTAGGGGCTGGGGATTTAGCTCAGCGGCAAAGCGCCTGCCTGGCAAGCGCAAGGTCGTGAGTTCGGTTCCCGGTACCGGAGAAAAAAAAAAAAAAAAAAAAAAAAAAAAAAAGACAACTAGCTACAGATTCTGGAATTGAAAAATACAGATGGGAAAATTTAGTATATGTGCTACAGAAGTGAGTACCAGTAGGAAAAATTTAGAAAAAAATATCACTACATAGTTTTAATAAGAAGAAAGATTCAGGAAAACTATTAAGGGTATTATTCCTGCCAGGTCAGCAGGGCTTATGACTAAGGAGAAGAGAAGGAAAATGAATGAAAAATGTAAATAGAGCCTCAGAGATCTGCGGAACACCACCAAGTTTACCAGATAAGCATAATGATAATTCCAAGGGAAGAGGAGCAAAAGATTGGTAGATACCATTTGATGAATGGAAAGCACAAAACCTCCAGAATTAATATAAAACATTATTATACTCATTAAAGAAATTCAATGAACTCCAAATATTGTAAGTATTGAGGATGTCACAAGTAAAAACCCCATCATCAAATTTTCAAGTTTATTTCATCTTAGCACTTGTTTATATTTATACAGAGAGCCATAAGCATGCATTATGAATATATATCTTTCTATTATGTGCATATGTTATGCAAATATATATTTTGCAAATATTTTTATATATATAGGTTGATGCCTATATACACACTCACACATATGTGATTTTTGTACCTAGCAGATGAATATATACATTCTTTTTTGCCTTCTTAGCTTTTCTTTTTATTTTATTTAAAAAATTTTACAATTTTTATTACTATACATTTACATAATGATTACATTATTGTAGAGAACTGGTACATAAACATAGCATGTCTTAATTCTTTCTTTCCCCTTCCCTGCTATACCTCCCCTTTTGAATTTTCCCTTTCAATTTTTCCAGGATCATATTCATTTATTTATAAGTCCTTATAAAATTATTTATCATAAAAATAGTTTAACAGCCAGCCCAACAAGGCAAAAGGTACATATAGAACATGTAAGGCAATTATACTAGATCAAGGTGTACTTTCAGTATACCAGTTTACTACCAACTGGTACCAGTTTCAGTGTACCAGTTTACCAACAACAGCGAAGAAGGGCTCCCTTCTCCCCTGTAGCCTGTCCAGCATTTATTGTTATTTGAGTTCTTGATGATACCTATTCTCTCTGTAGTGAGATGGGATCTCACTGTTTTAATTTTCATTTCTCAAATGATCAGCAATGTTGAACACTTTTTCATGCATTTATTGGCCACTGTACTTCTTCATCTGAGAAGTGTCTATTCATTTCAAGTGCCCATTTTTATTGGGTCTTTAAGTTTTAGGAGTCTAACTTTTTGAATTATTTGAATGTATGCATTCTTCTTCTATTTAATAAATATTTACAACATCTACCATGTGATAGTTCATGCATTACTTCTGTGTCTGTTCAGTTCCCATTGGCTGGGACTCAGTCACATGGCTGCAAAGATGCCTTGGAAATGTATTCTAGCCTAATGCCTAAAAATAGGAATTGTTTATGGACAGCTAGAATGTTTTCATAAGTAGATCTCTTTGTGGTTGGCTACCACCATTTCATTCTCTCATCAAAAGAAACAATTGAAACTTTCATCCATTACTGTGCCTGAAAGTTGAGGATATTAGATGACATTTCTTCTTCTTCATCAGAGATAAACATGGGTATTTCTGGTTGATTAATACAAAAATGTGAGAGACGGTTGTTTGTAATAGTAATAGTACTTATTGGTAGAAGTGTATGTTTGCAGTACTTGAAATACTCATTCTTTCTGAGGAAGTTGGTATATATACACAATACATCTTAATTTCTTTTTTCATCCTGTTGTACGTTCCTCTCTGTTGTACCTCAGTACCTAGAATAAGGCCACTACTTCTCATGAGTCTGGCAGGGCCTGTGAGAAGTGTACACAACTCAGGGAGCTGACACACAAAGTGAGTTGGTCTTCCCCTGAGATAATATAGACACTTCCCCTCTTGCTCCCTGTGTAACTACCAAGGCATGATGTTCTGCTGAAGATTAGATGCTCTTCCTGTTTAGATCTTACCCTCCCCTTAAACTCTCCGTAAACATCATCCTATGCTGATTGCAAAGATAAATGCACTGCGGTCGCCCTGCAGTCTTTTCTCTCATCAGAAGAGAGACTCCACCTGGCTTAGCTTGTTGTATCTTGACTTGTCTTCTTTTCATCCTCCGCTGTCCTACCTCCAGAGTTGAAGGAGCAGCACTGGATGTGCCACCTTTCCTTCCACTCTCCCTCCATCCCCGGTTCCCTTCCCTTTTGAGAAAATTAGATCACTGGTATGATTTATTGGGGAGAATACCCCTTGGCTTCCCTATATGTGGGGTTTTCTCTTGTTTCTTATTCTAATTGACAAATTTAACAAGAACATGGAAGATTATGTTTTCTTTGAAGGATAGAAAATGTTACATAATTTCTATTGCTTTGAAAATTCAATCAGTTAAAATTTTATTAAGCTATAACATGCAACTTATACCATCATGTATGGTATAAATCCTTCAAAAGCATATCAACTTTCTGATACATTTGTCTCCAGTATCTCCTAGAAGCCATTAACCAAAACCAAGGTTATATCTAGACATTACTTTTAAGTCTTTGTTTATTTCCTTGCTTCTCCCCGTGCCTTCCTCTCTTGATGGAGGTTGCCAACAGGTCTTCTGAAACAATAGGCTTGGAAAGAAAGGCACAACTTTTCAGTAGACTTTTGCCCTCAGGTTAAGCATCTCTATTTAACTGAGAAGACTTAATACACCCTCACTAGTGAAGTCTTCTTTTTAAAACCTTCCTTGCTGCATGAGGTCAAAAAGCCTGTGACTTTTATTACTCTGCACAACATTTATGGATCCTTTCTCTTCCTTTTGATTTCTGCTTGAAAACTGATCAAATGTTCTAACAATATATTGCTACAACTTTGAAATATAACAATGCTGTCTCTTTACTACATTTTATGAGTTAATAACTTTTCGGGGAACTTGATCAGCCTTCCATATGATTACAAGCATCTGATAAATGTCTCATGACTAAAAAAAATTCATATATCAATTTTTTCAGTGTATGATATTTTGTGGTTACCTCTGATGATATTTTTTGGTGGGAAATCAATAGCAGTTAAGTCAATGACATGTATTATGGGTTTTAGTTATGACTTTATAACTTTTTGGACACTAATTATTACTGCATTTGAAATATGCATTTTTAAAGAATGTTAAATAGGGAGCCAATTTTGTGAAGACCGTTTCTCACTATAAACTAGTGTTTTTTGAACTCTTTTTTCTTTTGCTACAAATCACAACAAAACTCAATTTATATGATCACACAAAGAGCACATGCACAAACCTACCAAATAGGACATGTCAAGACTGGGATGTAACTGGTAAAATCACATGTTATATGAGCACTCTAAATTTTCTTCATATTGATGAGCTGATTTTTCACAGTAAATTTTAGAAATTTGCTTAAAAAACGCCTAGTATTTAGTGATGGCATATGTGACAGTTAGGTTAATCACTTGAAAACTAATATTAACATGATTTTTATATCCTGACTATGATGTTATGATTATTAAATAATTAATAAAATGATAAAAATAAATAATAATTGCTCATGCTATGATGAGCAATTTTATTTAAAATTGAATATCCATTGTTTCAGTTAAGATTTACACTGTGTTAAGTCATGGCTTCATTTGATTTAACTTTAATACTTAAGTATTATTAAGAATCAAACATGAACAGTAAGAATAATATTCATATTTTTACTTACTTCTAAAAAGGATGTTATAATCTTAATTACCATTAATAAAAAATACAACCGTACAATTAAAGCACTGAGTTTTCCATTTTAAATAGACAATGGCGTTATATAACTTGTGAAAGTTTAGTGTCATGGACGTCTCTGCTTATCTGGCATATATGTGAACAAATATCTAAAACTGATTAGTAAGCCAAAATAGAATATCATTGCAGTTCTCTTTAAACAAATTTTAAGTAAAAAGAAAATACAAAACTGGAAACTTAGAATTCAAAGATTTTTTGCTTTGGTTCTTTACACTTATACTGTGGTTTCTGAAATTATAACTTTCTTTTTTTCTTTTCCAGGCCCGTTAAAAGAACAACACATGAACATAACATTGTGTGGAAGACGCTGAAGACAGTTCCAGACTTAGCCTCCCAGCTAAATGATGAACACCTGAAAACACTGAGCAAGAAGATCGTTTCTGAAACCTGGGTCAAAGGCAGCATAGGTAAAAGTCTGCATTAGCAGAGGACCCCTGGCAAGAGGAAATGCTCGTACCTATGTTGATTTTTCTATCACTATAATGTTTATGATTTCACTTCACATTTGAAAAACATACAACTCTCCTATATCCCACTTGTGAGATTCTTAGTGAGATTAATAATATCTCATGTTTTAATATGTAAAGTTTAAGGTATTCACTGATGTGTCCCCACTTTGAGCACACGACATCCAAATTACTCAGACTATTCAACGTAACACCTATTGGTGGACTTAAACCCCTGAAGTTCTGGTTCTGTAAATGTGGGATGCAGCCTGGATTGCATTTCAATAATCTATGAGCAGATATTACTAGTTTTAGGATCACACTCTGAGAACAATCACTTGTGTATACATACAGTAAATATCCAGCAGTGATTTTTTTCTGTAAGGAGAGCAAATGATCGAAGTGATTATTTGTCCAATAAAGGTACTGTTCTAGATATTGGAAAAGAACTCTCTAGACACATTTTAGTTTCCCAGTTTCAGTATTTGGTCTGTTTTCCAAGGATATAGCCAGTATATTAATAGAAATTCATATATTTAAATATTTTAATGAGGAAGCATACAGCATATGCACTGTACGTGTCAGGGCATTTTTCTTTTGTTCCTCAAAGGAACAAATAAAGATAGAAAGTGTTATTATTTTCCACAGATAAGAACCTCCAAGATACAAAAATATCATTCAGAGAAACCATGCTTGTTACTGAGTTTCAAATACACTTAAGCTAATGAGAAACTCATTTTTTGTGCATTATGTCACCACTGCTCATATAAAGTGGTTCATCAGGATCATGACATTTAAAAACTAACTAGAAGTTTGGAGAACGTGTCCCTTTGAAAAGATTTACATATTTTAAGAGTTTTCCCCCAATGTTTTTCTCTTATAATTAGTTCCATTTAATCAGAGTCAAGCAGTGAAAAATAAATCAAAAGAGTTTTCCAAAGATTAAACTGCCTTTAGAGTAATAAAAGAACTATTCACATTGCTTTGCCTTTAGCTTGAGGACAGCAATTAAAAATTAATTTGTTTCATAAGATCTAAAATTATGTTTAAAATGGTGAGTAATTTTAGAATAACCTGAATTTCTTCAGTAGAATATTGACTACACACATTATGATACATCTTTTTTTTAGACAGTGGTTTAAAAGCATATGGTACATCTGTATCTATAACTATATGTATATCGTCTATATGTATTATCTACATATGTGTATGTATATGTATTTAGTGTTTGGAAACAGAAAAGTAGTAAAGAAAAATAGAACAATTGCAAAATTATATAAATATTATTCACTCACACACATTATTTTCTTAAGTACATAAGAATGGGCCCAGGAAATGATCCAAAAATACATACTTCCTTGTGCAGGGTAGTACAGTTGGAGGGTGCTATGGTCTGGACGTAGTTTGAGTGACACCCCGCCCCAACAAAAGTCCATTGGGATTGAAGATTAGGTCCCAGGGTGGCATCGTTTGGAGGTAGTGATAATTATGGTAGGTGAGTCCTGGTGGGAGCTTCTTAGATCATCTGTGGTGTGAGGCACTTCTTGAGCAACCCTTTGGTTCTTGCGATAGATTGTTATAGAAGGGCAAAACCAGTTCTGTTCATCTTTTGTCCTGCTTATTCTTATTTGAGGTATTAGTCTTCCTACTGCAGTTATGTGCCTCCATGTTGTCCTCAGCAGAGATTAAAGAAATGGCATTTCTTGAATCTTGGCATTTGAACCTACCAACTGTGGGGGCTGGGGATTTAGCTCAGCGGCAAAGCGCCTGCCTGGCAAGCGCAAGGTTGTGAGTTCGGTTCCCGGTACCAGAGAAAAACCAAAAAAAAAAAAAAAAAAGAACCTACCAACTGTGACCTAAATAAACCTTTCTCTTAATGAAATCAGCTTCTTTAGTTATTTTGTTCTAGTAACAAAAGCTAAAACAAAGGCAATAGAGAGGAATAATTCAGTATTGTACAGATACTTATGTTGGTTTAATTTTTCCACAATGAATGTAGATTCATGTGTCAGGATGTGTAATTAGATATTGTTTGAAGAAAGTTCTATATTTACAATTAGAAGGAAGCATTTTATTCTGATGACATCATAATAACTCCTCATTAACTATTAAAATGTGAAATCTCAATAAGAAACTATCAACCTTAATGTGATTATTTACATGAAATAAAACACTTGAACCAACATTTCAGTTGGGCATACCTTCAATGATTTGGAAAACATTTAGAAATCTCTGTGTTCACATTCACCTGTGTCAAAATCCTCTTGAGTTTGGAAGCTGCCTACCCCTGTTTCACTGTCAAAGCTGTCAGTTCATTAAATATCTGACCTTTGTAGATCTCTTTGTTCGTCCAACTTAAGAAACAAGCCCGACTAGGTGTCTGCTTTGTCTCCCCTTTTCTTTATTCATGGATGCGTCTCCTTCCCTCTGCTGTTATTAAAAGTATTCCCTAATGTAGGCCCTGATCACCAAGCTGCTGACTTTCAATCTGTTGCAGAGGTTTGTCCTTCTCTGGTGCAACTCCACACAGCTGTTTGTACCTTCTGGTCTCCCTCCTGGCCACTAGTTCTTCAGAGATGAATTATTTAACAAGTTTCCCAAACTTATTCTCAAAGCCTCTTACACATTCAGTTTTTGTAAACAATATAGTGTTAACGAGGAAACAATATTATGATTTTTGAAGCGGTGAATTAAGCATATTTCAGGTTTAAGTGATCACTGTACTATACCATTCTTATTGTTTTATATAATGCATTTACTATAAGATTACTAAATATAAATTACTTATAATATTGAAGTTACTACTTATATATGCCATATATATGTATATGTAGAAATGGAGTATAGTTTACTGAAGTCAAATAATCTCAAGGGTTTTCCATTGGATCTTAATTTATGATATGGTAGCTTGATTTTTTTAAGATTGCCAACCTCATGAAAACTAAAAAGATTAACTTTCTTGAAATCTCAATTTAGTAACTAACCTGGAACAGGACTCCACACAAAAATTTCATTATAGTTTAGCTTCACTTTACTATTCAAACAGATTTCTATAAAATGAAGAATTTTTTTTCTATTTATATCACATTTACTCTGTCAACTTTATTAGGAATCCATGAAAACTTAAGTATTGTTTTTCTTCTAGTTTTTCAATTAAACTTTTTTTTCTCTGTTTTTGTGAGGTAATGGACAAAAGATTCCTTAACTTATTTTGATAAAATTTTATATTTCATTTTAATGCTGAAAATATTTTGTATAACTGAATTTTTAACATTTCCTTTACTTGAATTGACAATTTTTGTGTTATGGTTTATGTTTCACATAGCGTATAAAAATACAGTAATTAAGTCTCATGAAAAAATGTAGTGTTCATCTTTTTCATATGTAAATTAATCAAAACTCTAATAATACACTCTTTTTTTTTTTTTGTACCAGGAATCAAACTCAGGACCTTCCCTTGCCAAGCAGGCACTTGTGCCACTGAACTATATCCCCGTCCATATATACTCTTGTATAAAAGTAACAAATTTATTTCTAAGGTAAAGACCATGACTTCCTTAAAGGCATATATGGCCTTGAAAGATGTACTTTGATCTTAAAGTGAACATATGCTTTCTTTGACATTAAATTTTTTACAATAAAAATATATAATTAATAAAACATATAATTTTAAATTTGAAGTATTAACATTTAAAGTATCATGCAGGTATATTTTAATGCTGGAAAGGGATCAATGTTGTGTATATTTTTGTAAATTCTTATAATTAATTCTTTAGAAAAACACAGTTTAAATAAAGGACTGAAATCTTTTATACTGGAGGAATAATTATAGACCTTGACTTTAGTATGTGTGATACAAAAACAGAAACAGTTCTGCAATAAGAAATATCCTGAGTGTTGTTTTGTAGAAGAAACTTCAATTTTAAAATTAAGAATTAATAGGTTTAAAGTGATTGAATTCAATCACCAAGAAATTATAAAATTATAAATTCTGTTTTAATAAAATCTATATATATGCAGCTATATTTAAAGTAATTTACAATACACTGCACCCAATAAACTCATCATAAGATGAAAATATAGTCAATACAAAAAGTACTAACAAACTTCCCAAATAGCAGAGCTTACACTGCTGAGTATTGACTGCTTTCCTCTTGTGGTTGTGCAGCTTACTGGGAACTGAACAAGCTATGGCTGTCCAGCGTGTTGACAGAATATCATATGGCATTTTGATAGCCTGGAAATGGATTAAAATTCAAAACTGTTACGTGTATGATGGATTTTCAGTTTGTTCATTTTTCCCCTCTGACTTGGATGCAAGGAATAGTTTTAAAACTTGGTACGTTTTCAGTTTACCTTAACCAATGTCCTGTGACCAAACACCCCAAGCCTGGGTGATTTAATTGGCCCTGTCCTTTTAGGAAATGGATCTCCACAAAAAACTCAGCATCTGACAAAGTCATGTCCATACAACGTAACTTATTTTTTGAGAGCTTGTTTGGAGGTTCTAGCAGGGGAGCACAGCTACCTGTGTATGCTTGACTGAGAAATGGTCTTCCTCTATCAGAGTTGTTTGTCCTCTTTGACCACACATGCAGATTCAGGAGGGACACACATGGAGCATTGAGGGAGGAAGGGAATCTCTGTCTAGCCAGCCAGATCAGCCAAATCAACTGTGGCTCTCAATGGGGTCACAGATTACCCTCATACCCACAACTGGATTTATGCTTATCTCCACAATTTCACTTTCATCTTTTCCCCCACAAGAGTTCTTTCCTTTTAATTTTTTATGATAGTCTGTGTGACACAACTCCAATGTGTGCTTCTGATTCTCAGCCTGCTTGGTTTTAGCCCTTTTAGCTCTGTGTTGTACTCACTTTGATGATATGCTTCTTTCTATGCCTTTTAGAAACACTTGCTGGCCTGCTGGGAGGAACCATGACACAAACGTCTCATCTTGC